AACCTAACGAGTAGACTCGGTCCGGAGATTTCTAAAGTAAGGAGTTGGTTACATTTTTAGGAAGATATTTAATCACCTAAAAGTGCCACTTTCGAAAAAGGTACCATGTATGGTTTAGTTCTAAATTCATCTCATAAAAATCCATGTCAAGGTATTTTCTAATTTTAAAACTCCTATATTTTTTTTAGACTAAGTAAATTTTTTAGTTTTGGACGTGGCATCATATTGAGACGATCGTCGGTTCCCTTCGTCGGATGACACATCGATTCAAACATTGGATCCACTAAAAGCCTTGACACAACCGGCATGTCGAAGGACGTCTTAATTAAAAGGTGATTTTTGGTGACGTCGCCCCTATCAAATAGGAGGTTTCGTCGAAAATTTTGACTTTTGGTGATGTCGGTCCCTATTAGATATGAGACTTCGTCGAATTTATTTATTATATGTTTTTTTGTTTTGTGTGGACTCGGTCCTTACTAAGTAGGAGGCTTCGCCAAAATTTAGGCATTTTTTTTGTTATAACGTCGGTCCCTATCGGATAGGAGACTTCGTCAAGATTTTTTTTATTTATAATTTTTCTAGCAATACATATTAAAGAAAATCAAATTAAAAAATTAAAAAAAAAGACAAGGAATAAAAATTAACGAGCTAAAAAAAAAAATCATCATATACCTAAACTATTAACCCATAACTTTTACTCCTTTTTTTCTTTTTTACCTATCCCCCTTTTTTTCCTTTTTCCTTCTTATTTTTTTTTTTTACTTTTACTTATTTTTTTCCTTCCCTAAGTCTATTTTTTATTTCTTTATTACCCCTCTTTTTTTTTCTTTTTTTTTTTTCGAAGGTCGGAAGGTGGCTACGGGCTAGGCTCGAATTCCGGTCCGACTCGCCACTTGTTTTATTTAGGGTAAAGGGGATGGGTCGGATCGAAACCGATCCAAGCACATGTGCGTTTTATTTCTTTTTTTGGGAGCCATGGGCTGGATCTGTCCCATGCGTCTTGTCTTTTCTTAGCGAGGCTTTAGCCCGAAAACAAGCCAAGTAAATATTTTGACAAAAAAATGGATCAAACACCCTAAAAACTCTCTTTCTCCACTCGTTCTTCTCAATCTTCTTATTCTCTCTCTATTTTTCCAGATTTCCCTAGGAAATTAAAGCCTTATTTCGGACAAATAATTATTAACACATGTCATTTACCCTTCGTCTCGATCACAAACCGAGAATTAAACTCAATAAATAATCAAACAAACACTTGAAACTATGAATCACTTAATCGGTACATAAAAAAAGGAACAAACCTTGCATGCTTAAATTAGTGATTCGTCGTTGATTTTGCAGGTAAGATTGATCACCTCGCACTAGATTTGGTGAAGAGGAATCGCTTAGGGATTTGTGGATGATTGGGAACTAAACGACCGAAAGACTCGCCCAAAAATCAGTAATGGAAAAGAAAGAAAGAAAAAAATGTGGACTAAACTTGGAGTTTGAAGACAAACCCGGAAAAATGAAGAACGAAAAAACCTAGAAAACCCAACTCGCCGTAAACGTGAAGAACAAAAATTGAGAATGAAAGAATTGCAACTTGAATTTCAAACAAAGAGATGAAGAAAACTAATAAAGTAGAAATTTAACCCGGAGGAACACAAAACAAGGAACCGAAAAGGGTCGACCGATGATGAATCAAAACCCGTAACACGAAGAACACAAAGAATCGAAACCCGAAACCAAAAAAAAATGCAGTGACCAAAAATTAAAAATTAAGCCTTTTGCTTTTGATTTTCGAAACCTCTCAACCCGAATTCTTCGCCAATTTCCTCCCTCCTTTTTTTTTTTTTTGTGAAATTCAAAACGTTTTATAGTATAAAATTTCCTAAAATTTCTCTTAGAATCGAATCTCAAATCCCGAATTTTTTTATCAAAAATTTTCCTCTTTAATTCATGATTAATGCAAAATCAAAACGAGAAATTGCTTGATTTTCCGTTGGTATTAATTCCGTCCAATAATGCATAATCAAAACAGAAAATTTGATGGAGGATTTGGCAGATTTATCCAAAGATTTTCGGAGAGAATTTGCATTGGAGCGAACGACGAGTCGTCTTCTCTATTTCGATCCTGTCGTTCGCTCCAAACTTCCAGTTTGTTCATCGCATTACAATTTCAATAATTACGCCCTTTGATGGTATAATTTCAGCATAATCTCATCAATTAGGTCCCTAGAAGGTGTAATTTAAGGCCTAATTTTTTAATTGACTTGATTACATCCCTAATTACTTCAATTGTGTCATTAAACGAATTTTTTTTGTGTTTTTTCATCATTTTCTTTCCTTTTTTTTTTTTTTAAGCAAACTTCAAATTAAATAAAAATAATAGATAAAATAATAAATAAAAAAATAAAAAAATAAAAATTTTAGGTTATTATAGTCATTAAAATTTTATCATGCTTTACTTTTGTTTCTTCCCTATGCATAATGAATTTTTTTTAGTCTTATTGTTTATAAGGTTTTTTTTTAGTGAAAGTTTTTTTTATTTATTTTAATCATTCTTTTATGATCTTTATTTTGTTTTGATCATTTAATTTTTATATTGTGTAATTTTATCTTTATTTTTTTGCCAAATTCTCAATGTGACAAAGCTTTTTTGTTTTTGTTTTTGTTTTTTTTTATTTTGGGTGGTCTCTTTATCTCATTAACATAGTAAAAATTAATCATCTAAAATTTAAAAACTACCACATCATTATTTAAATTATTAGTTATTATAAGTATTTTTAATAAAATACATGTTTATATCAAACAATAACTAATTAGCAACATTATATAATTCAACTTTGTAGACTTTTCGTTTAGCTAACCCCGAAACAAAATATGAGATATATGTTTTGATTCTTTTTTTTTTTTGAATTTTTTTCATGTGATCCCTTTAAATAATTATTTTTGAATTTTATATTATATATGAATGAATACAAAAAAATATTGTATAGCTCACTCCATGACAATGCACATGATATATGCTAGTATATAGTAATACATATTCCAAATATAAAACGATAATGTGATTTCAAACGATTCTTAAATAAGCCATTTACATATACCAATACATGTTTCAAATATAAAATGATAATATGAGAAACATAACTATTAATCATCTAAGCCAACACCTATGATAAAGTTTCTTCAAATTTTAAGTGGGTGATCAAGTAATTAATCCTAACAAACATTTTAAAATAATTCTAAGATTGGTTTGATGGTTAAAAATAAGTGATTATTTTTTTAATTTTTTGAATTCAAATCTTATAACTAGCATTTTGAGTAATTTATTAAATTCTTTTAAAATTTATTAGGACGATGTGAAGAGTATGTTTTTAAAATTGTTCGATGAAAAAATTTAGTTTCGATTGACACAACGATTGATTTGAGAATACTTTCTATTGTTTAATAAATTTTTTTAAAAAAATTAAAATTAATTATATATATACTTACCAAAAAAATATCAACTAATAGGTGAATATCTCATTTATTAAATAAACGGATTTTGTTAACAATTCTCGTAAATACAATTTTTTGATATTTTTCAAAGAAGAGAACTATGCGACACAATTATGTAAAAGCAACATTATTTATATATAAAAATGAAGAAATTGCATCTAATTCTTAAGACAGAATCATTACTTGCTTTAATCTGGTCATGGTCGTTTATTTTAGGCTAATTTGATTCATTCACGTAGAAGATGTACATTGATCGCTCCCTAGATGGGGTCAAAAAACATAAATGGATCTAGTCCAAACCAGACCCCCAAAGACACTAAAGTGGCAGTGCTGTACATATCTAGTATGACAGTACTAGATGTTCATGGTCAATTGAACATAATTTTAACCGCTATTTTAGACTCAACGCAACAGGCAAATCAATTCCACAATCAATGCACCTTCCTCTGTTAATGCCACCTTCCTTGTTTAGCACGACGGAAAAGACACACATATAACCCAACTTTTTATAAAAAAAATCAAGTAAACCACAAGATGATAAGAAAATTACATCAAATAAGAAAAATAATTATAGAAAAACATGTCCTCCCTATCTCTTTTATGGTTTAACTTAAAGAGGTAAGTAAACCACAACATGATTAAATAGACTCTTAACTTACTTGGTAATTGATATACTATTTGTTTCACATATTATTATCTAGAATTTAAATTTTATGAAAGATAAGAAAATGATTTAATTCTAATACATCAAAATAAATATAAAAATTGTTATATATATATATATTTATAAAAGAAAAAATTTAAGAAAGATTTTTGTTTTTCTGAGGATTGTATAAGAAAAAAATTGTTATGGTTAAAGCACTCAAATTTTGACTCTCTAGAAAAATCATTTTGCAGATAAAATAAATTGTGTTTTTCACAATTCAATATTATTTATTTTAATCATATTATTCAAATATGATACAAAATAAATAGTATATTATTTAAAATTAAAATAAATTAATTTTTTATTCAATGTTAAGCTAATTATACAATGATACGTAGTTAATTAAAATAAATAAAAAATTTTGTTTGTCCTAACTTAAAATAGTTTAAAATTTATTTTGTATTATAATTACATAAAAAAGACATATATTTCACACATAATTTAACGGTAGATTTTTTTTTTTTTACCTCTATCTTGATTAACGTTATCTTTTTTTTCTTTTTTCTTACGACAACCATTGAATATGGGCGGTTTTTAAACCAAATAAAAAACTCGAAAGTTATCAACCGCAAAACATAATACTCTTCGCTTAACAGCATTCTCTGTTGATCTTTTCCTTTTGTTTTGGGTTCTTTAATTTCTATAGGTAACCGTGTTTCTTCGACCCCGCTTGGCTTCGTTGACCCTCTCTTGATCCAAAGTGTTTTAGCTATAAATGCTCTCACTTTTAACATAAACTTTCATTCTCATTTCAGACAATTTGGCATTTTCACTCGTTTCTGTGCTCTGTTTTCTCTTTCTTGGTCTTAAAATGAAAAAGCTGTTTGGTCTGTTTTTATGGGGTGTTTTTGGAGGTGTAGTAGTGGCTGGGGCGGCAAGTGAAAGTAGTGGTACAACAAGGAAGCTTGATCAAACACCAACATGGGCAGTTGCTACTATTTGTGCTGTTATTATCATCGTTTCCATTCTTTTGGAAAAAATTCTTCACAAAGTCGGAACAGTAAGTTTTTAAGTGTGTGTAAATGTTGTCTTCAATGCTTTTCTTCAATTTTTAATGCGTTTCTTGATGTTCTTCAACTGTTTTGCCTTCTTGGTAGCACAGTTTGGTTGATTCTAATATCACCGAATTCTTTAGTGTCTTGCTTTTTAATTTTGCTATAATTCTTCTTTATTGTTGCTGTTGGAGGTTTAAATAATTAAATCCTATGTCTGTTCTTAATTATGTAAAAAAGAATTAAGAACTCAAAATCAAAAGAAAAACACTGAACTTCTCACTGGTTAAAAGAATAATATTTATTTATTTATTTTTAGTCTTACTAATTTTCTATTTTTCCTAACTCAATATTTTTATTTTTCAATTCAGTGGTTTACAGAAAAGCACAAGAAAGCTTTGTTTGAAGCCTTGGAGAAGGTTAAAGCTGGTAAAGAACTAAGCTTTATGTACTAGTAATAATGATTAGTACCAATGGTCATGATTCTCTCCTTTGGCCTTGACTTTTTTTTTTTTTTTTTTTGGCCTTTTTCTTATGTACGCCTTTAGTGGGATTGTTGTGAGGAATTCTGAGTATGAAATTATTATTGCAGAGCTGATGATTCTAGGGTTCATTTCACTGCTTCTGACTTTTGGGCAGAATCACATTGCAAAAATCTGTGTTCCCCAAAATGTTGTAGGCACCATGTGGCCTTGTAAGAAAAGAAGTGTAGATGAAAAAAGTAGTAGCACCGAAGGAGAAGGGGAACATCGCCGGAGACTGTTGTGGTTTGATCGTAGATTTCTAGCTGGTGCTGAGAGCGGAGTAAAATGCAAGGATGTAAGTGTATATGCTTCAAAACTTGTTTTTCTTTTTTGATAATTTAAGATTTTTTTGTTGGCTGTAGATACATGGGCAACTGGTAGTCTGTTGATGAAAGTTTTTGTCATGACTAGGATGTATGTTTTGTGTGCTGTAAATTTATTAGTAATGTTCTTGCATTGTGTAAAAGAAGGGTTGGAAAGTGTTTGAATGACAACCAATTAAAGCATTAGTTTACTGGAAACATATCCAAAGAATGCTTTCTAAATAGTTCTTTTTGGTGAAGGTGAGGGAGTAGGTGTGGGCATGCCAAAGTAAAATTGTATACTCTTTGATGCTTTTATATGTGTTTTCATTGAGCCAACTAGTTTAGTTGCATGATTAGAAGTTTCAAAAAAAGCTCACATGTTTTTGGATTGAAGTACAGTTGTTTTGCTCTAGAGAGTGCTAGCTGTGGGCTTTGAAATGCATTTTGATTGTTGAAATAAGATTCACGGAAGCTAATTGGTTGCTATTTGATGTACAATGATAGGTGTGATCATGTTATGACACACGTTAGATCTGACCCATCGATTTTCATTTAGAGTTTCAGTTACTTTCACAATTTAATCCATGACATCACAGAACTAACATAACATTGAAGGAACAAAATGATAATACGAGTATAGATTGTGTGGGAAATATCATCGGTGTGTTATCGCTTATCACATTCTGCTGTTTAACGAGATTGATAATTGATGCCGTTGGGTAGAATGCAGAACTAACATTGACCAGGTATTAATGAACTAATTGTCTTAGAACATGCCAAATTTGATTGAAAAAATAGTACATGCTACTGTGGGATCTTGAATAAATCTAGACAATGGCAGAAACTGCTTGCTGCTAAAGGATATTACTTCCTGGTATTGAAATTTAATGTTATCTGTCACATTTAGGCATCGTCGAGAGAGCTGCATAACAAGTTGTGAGGATATAAACCACTGTATATCTAAGTCTAAAGATCCTTCTTTTCCTTTTATGAAATATTTGATGGTACATTACTTCATGCGTTTGAACAATATCTTCAAGTGTTGTAACTAGATAATCATTTCACTAGTTAGTACCATGCTTGTGTAATTTTCTTGTTGTTGCTTGCTTTACAGTAATTAATTTTTATACTAACCTCTATTTACTTATTTATATGGTAGGATCTTAAAATTTCTCTTCACTACTGTATGAGAGGATAACATTGAATCATATCTTGCTCGAAATAATGACTGTTCTGATTTTTTCCTGCAGGGGTACGAACAGCTCATATCTGTTGAAGGATTGCATGAATTACACATCCTCATATTCTTTTTAGCATTCTTTCATGTGTTATTTAGTGTTATTACTATGACACTTGGGAGACTAAAGGTATGCAAATGTTCTTTTGCCTATAGGTTTCTTATGCTATGCTATCCACACACACATCTAATTGCCTGGATTGGTTATGTGCATTACTGGAAAATAAAACCTATAGCAATGAATAAACTAGAAAATAAAACCTATCTCTGTCCCTGACGCTTAATGATGCATTAAGTCAAATTCACAGTTGGTATTCATTACTTGTCACAGAGTCGTGCTTGGAAGCGGTGGGAGCTGGAGACTTTGTCCCATAATTATGAGTTCTCAAATGGTAAACTGTCTTATCTTAAGGGCTAGACTCCATCTTTATGTTATAGCTTGAACTTTTCTTCATCAAGTCCAAACATTATATTTGAATAGTTGGGTTTGTATGCTCAGTTGATATTATCTTATGCACAGATCCTTCAAGATTCAGGCTTACTCACGAGACATCTTTTGTGAGAGCACACACCAGTTTCTGGACTAAAATTCCTTTCATCTTTTACATTGTAAGGAATATATCACTTGACTAGCAAGTTTTTTATTTTCTTTGTGTGTGTGTATGTGTGTGTGTTTGGCAGAATAGTATGGTCTAAATTTGTTTGTATCTATTGCAGGGATGCTTCTTCCGACAATTTTTCAAATCTGTTAGCAGGTCTGACTACCTGACATTGCGCAATGGATTCATCACAGTGAGCCTTAATATGCAGAAATTTTATTTTTCACTGTTGGATTGCCTCTTTTTATTTTTTGACATTGCCAAATCTATGTAGGTCCATTTAGCTCCTGGAAGTAAGTTTAACTTCCGAAAATACCTCAAAAGGGCATTGGAAGATGACTTCAAGTTAGTTGTGGGAGTAAGGTAATAGTTCATTTATATCCATTTATTATCTTTCTCTTCATGTCTTTGGTTTCACAAGATTTAAAATATGTATGCATATTGATTTAATTTGATGTGTTGGCAGTCCTGTTCTGTGGGCGTCCTTCGTTATTTTCTTGCTTCTGAATGTTAATGGTAAGTTTCTCTGCTAATGAAATTTTTATAGCAAACAAGCATTTGAAATTTGAATTTAGGGACAGCTTAATATGTTCACGTGTTGTGTTCATTTCAGGATGGCAAGCTATGTTCTGGGCTTCTATAATACCTGTGATTGTAAGAAATCTATTCTCAGTGACCAATTTTTCAGATTGAGGGGAAAAAAAAAAATCATTGTTCTGACCATTTATTATTGCAGATTATCCTAGCAGTTGGGACAAAACTTCAGGCCATTTTGACGAAGATGGCTCTTGAAATCACTGACAGACATGCAGTAGTCCAAGGGATACCACTTGTGCAAGGCTCAGACAAATATTTCTGGTTTGGTCAGCCTCAGTTACTTCTTCATCTTATCCATTTTGCTTTGTTTCAGGTACAGTATGACCTCCTCTGCAGATACTAAACCTTATATTACCTATAATTATGAAGGAATGGTCATTTTTAGATTCTTGAATATCAAGATTCTTTGTTTTATTCATATTAATGAACTTTAAGTAGGCTAATTGTCATTTTCTTTGTATCTTGGTGCTTGCAGAACGCATTCCAGATAACATATTTCCTCTGGATATGGGTAATTAACTGTTTTCAGCAACTCTATTTTGCCACAATGAATCGTCTGCTCCCTTTCTTTACTCCTTATATCCTTTGCTTAAAATATCTGTTTTATATATGCAGTATTCATTTGGGTTGAAATCTTGCTTCCATGACAATTTCGATATTGTTATAGCCAAAGTTGCTTTGGGGTAAGCTTTGGTTATTTTTCCCTATCAATAGAATGCCATTTCTAGTAATAAATCCATTGCAAACATGTTATAGAGGATGTAAAATTAACAGTCTCTTGATTTCAGTATGGAAAGGACCGTGTTTTGGACACAAGTCTTTATTTTAAATTGGACTAACAGACTTAGTTTTTATGGCCTTGCAGGGTTGGAGCTCTAATTCTGTGCAGTTACATCACGCTTCCTCTATATGCACTTGTAACTCAGGTACCTTCAACTTCCTCTGGTATTTTCAAAAGTTCAAAACAAGCTCTTCTGTCGGAATGAAACGTCATTAAGCAAAATCCTACGAAACAAACTTCTAACTTCAAATGGATCATTTGTTCCCAAAGCGAGCTTTTGGTCAACCAACAAATTATCTCCTCATTACTAGAAATGACGGTATTAGTTTCCATATCATGGAAACCTTAAAAGATTCTAGCACTCAAATTTTTTTCCGTCCCGAGAACCTATAGCATTATTTGTAAATAAACTTTGTATTGTAATGTGCTCGCTCTGTTTCCCATCACTTATTTCTCCAAGTTTTCCGTGGTTTCCTGGATACTAATCTTTATTGGTGGACCCTCTCAGATGGGTTCGCGTATGAAGAAATCAGTCTTCGATGAACAAACGTCCAAGGCTCTTAAGAAGTGGCACATGACTGTGAAGAAGAGGCATGCGAAAGGAGGAAAGACCCCTACTCGGACATTGGGAAGTGTGAGCCCAAGTGTGTCTACTGTCTCTTCCTCGCACACATTGCAACGATTCAAAACAACCGGGCACTCAACCCGGTCATCATACACTTATGATGATCAAGATGTGTCTGATGTAGAAGCCGAGGCATTGTCACCCACAACAGCAACAACCAGCTTTATTGTAAGAGTTGACGATGATGATGATATTCAAGCATCTGAAGTTGATGTACCGCACCACGAGGAGGAAGAAACGAGAAATGAAGATGATTTCTCTTTTGTAAAGCCTGCTCCTTCCAAAGAACCTTAGTTTGCATAAAATGATGCAACATCCTCTTGTACATTAATTTCTGAGAGCACGTTGTCGATTCAGATAGCGAAATACAGGATCTTTATTTATTTATTTTGTATATTTCTATTCTTTTCATATATATATATATATATATATATGCACACTTGGCTTAAATGTTGCTTGCGCTTGATCTTTCGATCCGTAAAATTATTTTTAATTTTTCTTTTTGGGCTTTTATTTATTTGTTGCGAATGCAAAAACTCATGGTGGGCTTCTTTTATTTTTGTGTAATGCAAGGTTAGTTTGACGTGAGCAGAAGTGACCCATTTCCATAAACTAGCCCATTTATATTAAAAACCCGTGGACTTTTTATTATAAGAAGATTCCAACGTTGATGAATTTACACTCTTTTCCTTATAAAAATAGAAATTCACTGACAATTATAGTAAGACGCCAGGATTTGGCAGGGGTCTTGATTGGGCCATTTTCTTGGGTGCCGATTCGACATCTTAGTAAAACCTATTCGGTTTCATCTTTCAAGGGATACTAAGAAGGACAAATAGGACTTTATTTATTTATTTATTTTTTTTGTAAATAATAATAATAATAATAATAAAATATCGTAGGTAAATTATTCAGTGGTTTTGGATAAAATTCAAATGGACTGGTTTTGTGTTAAACCGTATTTAGTAACCACGTCAATCGGTCCAAGTCCATCACAAAACTAGCATATCTTTCGGATTTATCCTAGTTAGGCATCGAAGACATTGGCGGACTCGGGATCAAATGTCCACGGGATCAAAATAAATATTTATAAATTTATGATAATTTACATAAACTTATATATATTATAAATAACATACCAATATATATTTTAAAATAATTTCAAAATATAATCACTCAAAATAAAGATTTTCGTTTTTTTTTAAATCACGAAAATCATCTATAAACGAATCCATATTAAAATTTTTTAAAATTTCTTTTTTAATATATACTAACAAATAATCGAAAAGAAAGTCATTATCCATCTTGTTATGAAACTTAGTCTTGATTATGCTCATAGATAAAAATGATCACTTCTTGGTAGTTATAGAAATTGAAAAAGTAAGAATAAGTGTTATCACTCTATACATAAGTGGATAACTTTAAATTTTTTTTGTTTTCATCAACCAAGGACATAAATCGAGTTGTAGTTGACAATATTTCAAAATCGAAAGATTTCGTACATAATCAAAATACTCAAATTGCATCCTTAATTGTAGCATTTCATAATCGACAAAATCTTAAGGGTGAAATTTCTACATCAACTTAAAGTTTAGTGTGCTTAGTTTAATCCCTTATCTTAATTTTTTTTTCTCATAAGCAAAATAGTATTTAGCAAGGCTTATCTTAATCCTTCGAGTTGTATTCAACTTTTCATTTGTTTAGCACATATTTTTATTTTATTTTTTGTTTAAATTTTTATATATATTCAAAATCTATCTTTCTTTCAACTCGTATTCATTTTATGATTTTTAGAGTTCATTTGGTATTGATATGGATTTATTTAAAAAAATCTCATAAATATTGTATTTTAAGTGTTTGTTTCAATTCTTTATCTCTTTAGCGTAGATTTTTATTTTAGTTTGGGTGTAAATTTTTATAGGTTAAAAATTATCTTCTTTTTATCTATATTTAACTTCATTATTTTAAGAGGACATTTGGTATTTTATTTGGATTGATTTAAATTGTTCTAAAAAAATTTATATTTTCCAAGGTTGTTTCAATTTTTCATCTCTTTAGCCTAGATTTCTATTTTATTTTTGGTTTAAATTTTTATATATTCAAAATCTACGTCCTTTTGATTTACATTTACCTTTATGATTTTAAGAGGTTATTTGGTATTTTATGTGCATTTATTTAAATTATTCTCATAAATATTGAATTTTTAGATGTCTGTTTCAATTTTTATCAATTTTATGTGGATATATTTAGTACCTTTTCTTTAGATAATTATAACTTAATTCCTGAAAAAAAAAAAGAAGAAGAAGAAGAAACATTCCTTCTTCCCCTAATAGACTTCTTTCTTAATAAGTTTAACTATTCAAAGATAGAAAAAAGTTGGCTCTTTCTCTCGTAAATATATAAATATTGAAAAAAAAAAAAAAGGAACAAGAAGAGCCCAAGAAGAAATTAGAAACTTACAAGCAAAAAAGGCCAATAGCTGGCTTTGTTTTCCCGTACGGTGTGTCCATGGCATGAAAGGGAGTGAAATCCAGTAATCTACAAATATTTAATACCAGCTGGGATTAAAAAACAAAAGTTGGAGGGGGCTCCTGCCCCTGTAGCTCAAACCATGCGTCAGCCCCTGATTGAAGACCTCATCAAATTAACAAGAAAACCTAAAATAGATGAACTAATTATCATCCACATTCATGTGCATGCATTGTTCACTTGAAATTATTATAATTTTCTTATGTGCATTATTTATTTGGCATTGTTGAAATTTTCATTTTTTATTCACGCATTTGTAATAGCATTGTTGTGATTTTCAGCATTTGTTTAGGTATTTGATATAAAATTTTAGTAAATGTTATATTTTGATCCCTAATTTTTTTTCTAAAATTTTTGTTTCAATTTTTAATTTTATTTATATTGTAGTTTGCTCTCCGAATATAAAGAGAAACATAGAGAAAAGGAAAGAGGGAGAATGCGATGACAAATGTCCATTATGGCCATTTTGAAGAAGGAAATATAAAAAAAAGGAAAGAATTAATTAAATATAACATTTTGATTAAAAAATCAAATAGGAATTTTAGAATATAAAAGTTAAATAGTAAAATTTTCTCAAGGATATATATATATACAGAGAGAGAGAGAGAGAGAGAGAGAGAGAGAGAGAGAGAGAGAGAGAGAGAGAGAGAGAGAGAGAGAGAGAGAGAGAGAGAGAGAGCTTGCCACTCAATTTACTTTGTTAATTAATGTCTTCGACCCATATTAATGAGGTCATGATCTTTAAATTAATCTTAATGATTGGATGGTTTTTGATCCAGATTGAGTGTGTGGTCAAATATAATTTGTTGTATAGGAGATTAATAATAAATACTTGTAAAATAAGTCTTCTTCGGTGTTTGGAGGAGATCAATGGTTGGATGACTAAATTAGTGCATGGAGAGAGGTTTGCCTAAGTAGGCTTAAATAGTATTTTTAGCTTTTACTAAGAAAAAAAATGATATACTATATATATTTTTGAAAGGTTTAAAAGGTAGAACTCGCAACATATAGAGTGTTAACTTTTATATAGTGAAGGAGATGATCATTTTGTATGAAGTACAACATAGGCTAGTCATTTCTTTTATGTTTAACAACTTCGACATCTATTTAGAAGTTGGGATCACTTTAGGAAAATGTCTTGGATTATCAATGCATATGTAATCATGTTTGGTGATAACATGATAAACATCCCATAAAACCATGCTCTCATTAAATGCATTTCCTTTCTATGTAATCAAATAGGAGGGATGATTTTGCCTAGGTCACCTATTTGTGCTCGTATATTCGGTGTTCGCTTGGTTGTGGAGTTTTTAGTGATGGTGAAGCCTTGTTTATGGTTATGTCAAAAGGTTGGGTGACTATGAGGTTGAAAGAGAGCCTTTAACAATAAGAAGACCTTATTTTGGTACGCTTTGAAGGCGTGTGATGTAAGATAAATTTATATAGGTATATGAGTAGCCCTATTGAGTCTTTAGCAAATGTTTCGGTGAAGACTCAAACTACATTAGGGTGCCTAGAGATGCACATGGTAATTGATGGTTTTTTTACTTTTCTTTTCCATACTTAACTTTGGTTGGTTTACTATAAATTTAAAGCCCGTAATCTAGATAATCATGTGGACACCATAGGAAGACTAATCATTTGCGTGTGAGAAATTTTCGGAGAAATCAAAACCACGAGGTCTTTAGAATCTCTTTAGTTTTAGCTTGATTCAAACTTTTTATATAACATATCGTGATACACAATTGGTCCACATTAGGTGGGACATACTCTTTAGGCTTAGGCTTTTGAGTGCCCCACTATAAGACTTATTGTGCTCTTTCTATTAAGTAGTTGTTAGCTTTCATGCCTTTTCACTTTTTATTGATTTTAATTCTACTACTACAAAATTTTAGAGTAGGCATTACTAGTGGGTTGGTGATTGTTTAGAGTTCTTCTTAGAGTGAGTATTTTCTCACAAATATCCTTTTAACTATGGAAATCTTTAGTGATTGTGGCTATTCTTAATATACATTGAGCCTTCGTGGAGTGGTTATTGGTATTTGGCAATTTTGGTGAAGCTTTGATAGGTAAACCTTTTTTTTTTCTTCTTTTCCTATATGTTTACTTAAGAATAATGGATTTGAGAAGAGTTAGGTAGATTTTGAGGTCGTTCTTATCGATGAAGGGTTATCCCTAAAGTGGGTGTGGTTCTTCCTTTTAAGCATGTGCAAAGACCCATATTCATCCCTACTAATAGAAGTCATAGTAGAGTTTTAAGATAAAGGATTACGATCTTCTCTTATTACTTAATGTTAGATTATCATATTGTTATTCCTAGCCATGATGATATGATAAAGAGATTGACCTTTGAGAGCTTTGAAGGGATCATTAAGATTACTATTCCTACCTATATGATTGAGTATATATATATATATTATTTGGGTTCATATAGGAAGTCTTTTAGCACTTTGGCATTAGTCTTTCATAGCTTCTTATGGATAAGTGGGCTATTCTTGTTATGTTTGGTAACTTTTACTAACATCTCAAAGTAGTCCCATTTCTAAGGCTTCTTTTGTACTCTTTCTATTTGAAGGAGGGAAGTAAATAGAACACTAAGAGCTTCCATGTGTATACCCTTTTACCTACAAAAGCTAGTCCATTTAATGAGATGTTTATGAGGAGCAAATTCGCTTAGCGATTGAAGGGAGGAGTGAATCATTGCTACGTATGAGAGGCAAATGCCTTTAAAGGACATTAGTCGATGTAGACGTCTAACCATTTCC